GTTTCCCAACCTTGGCACTGGCTGGACTTCAACTCCCAGAATTCTGGGAGTTGAAGTCCAGACATCTTCAAGTTACCAAGGTTGAGAAACACTATTTTAGACAAAATCAACAATGGCCTGAAATATGTCTCGCTGCTGCTCTTGGACATGAAGCTTCGTAGTTCAGATACCTCATCCCCATTCCACCCACGCCCAGCCCATGTAGCATGTGATTGCTCGGTGAAAGGAGAGATTCTTTTTCAAGAAAAACAGAGCCGCCTCCTTGACACAAACTGTAGATTTTAGCAGCCCTGGCCCAAAGGAATACGATCGCTTTTGTTTTACACAATATAAAAGGGACACTATTACAACAGAATTCCTGGACAATATTTTTGTTGTTTTCAGTTGGTTTTGTTTCCTTTGGGTATGTCTTTAGAGTGACAGAGTATGCGAACATTGCAAATAATTCAATGGTTTCTTAGCCTCTCTTACAGCCTATGGAATAGTACTGTATGTCAGATACCTTCATATGAAATTTTTATATGCAATGGAAATAAAAGCATGGGTTGATTCTGCCTAGGTAATTTCATTTGACTGGTTTTTTTGCATGTCAATTTATATTAACACAATTATTGTCCCATAAATGAAAAGGTTGGTCTAAAATACAAGGTGAAAAGAGGAATGGGAGTTGGGTGATGTTATGGTTGGATGTACAAACAATTGTGCAGGGAACTCATTTGAAATAGGAGCAAAAAGATTTAAACCCAACTTCCTCTTACTAAGTGAAAAAAAACCTGCTACAGAGCAAAAATTTAAAAATAATCTTGGCTAGCCAACAAATGTTTTCTATGTTGCCTTATTATGAATCTGGAACAGGCTTCAAGAAACGTATGGGAGTGGTAAATTAAGTGTCCTACAGTCTGTGTAACTTAATCTATCCCATCATTTCTAACGTACCTATACAAAATACATAAATCTAGAATTAGAGAATAGATAAATAGAAAGATTTGATAGATGTTTGCACACATAGGTCAGACAAGGATGTCTAGCTGAGTTTTATTTGTTCTTCAAAGGAAGGCCTGATTAGTACTTGAATGGGAGACCATCGTGGTATGTCAAGCGACATTGGGAAGTTGAAAACCATTGTGGAAAAAAGTGGCGACAAACCATTTCCATATTATTGCCAAGAAAAACCTACACGGACATGAAACAGCCAACAAGATTGAAGCGTGAATCAGAGAAGATTCCATTTTACCCTATTGCAACACAAATTATTGTGCTGCACTTAAGAGGGAAAAAATGCACCTGGGAACCCATCCAGGTTTTCTTTCTATAAATCTTGTTTGTAAGAACAGAGTCTTGTTTTAAAGTTTAATTGTGGTTTGGAAAATTTTGACAGATGGAGGATGGTCTGCTTGTACCTTCTGTGATAAGGCATCCCTTTTGAACAATTGCCTTCCCGTCTGCAGATGTATTGGGGCATTTCAAGAGGCTGCTTTTAATTGTTAGGCTGTTTCAAAGCCTAATTTTAGTAGGGGTTGTGTGCGCATGTCTCTGTGGGTGAGAGGAAGAAAGAGTGAAAAATGAGAGATGTGCGAGAGTGAGAGAATAAGGTGAATATATGACAGAATGGGGTGTGTATATTTGGGAAATGATCAAGAATATAATATTGATATGTGAGAAAGAAAGTGCTGGGGGGGGGAATGAAAGAGAAAAGTTTGAGGAAAAAGTGGAGTGTTTGCATGAGAGAGAATACTGACAGAAGCGAGTTTATAGAATATATTGGGAAAGGAACCATGGATTATGTCCTCACTGAAATGCCAGCTGTCATTGGATCTATCCTTGCACTCTGCATGCAAATCCACACATAGGTGCCTTGGGTGAAAAATGTTATCCCAGCAATTATACTATTGTCTGGTCACTGCTATGTAACAATTCTTAAGACATGAGGTTAGTTTTGTTGCTCCTGCAATGAAAATGACTGTGGAAACTGCTTAGAAAATTAACAGGCTACAACATGCCAGAGAAGCGTATGAAGGTGGATGAATGGGACTTCAATGGAAAGAAGACATGAAATGTGTATGAGAAAAGAATTTATTAAGTGTTACAAAATTGCTGAGAGAAAGCTGTTAACAAAATGTGTGCAGCAAAAAAATAGAATTGCAAAATGTGATTAAGAACAAGGAACAGGGAAGAATAAAAGAGAAAACATTACATGGTTTTGATTGAAATATGTGACATTTTTGGAAACGGATGAAGGCACCGAAACAAAGAATCACCAGCAGAAGAATGGGACTTAGATCAAAGTGATATAATTATTTGGGTTGAAATAGGAAGTGAGAGAATGCTGGAAGTTCGACTTCAGAGATATGTATGAGAAAGATATCAAAAAGCAGTATGGAAGGGAATGCTATAAATATTAATGTTCAAAAGAAAAATAGATGAAAAAACATAATATTGCCAGAATGTTGAAAAATGGAAAGGTAGGTGTAGAAATGTCACTGGAAAAAGCATTAAAATCTGAAAATGGTTTGCTCATAGCTGTGTTGATGAGCCTTTTTTCCACCAAGTGTGCAGGCGCGGGGGGAGCACCAGAACCCGGAAGAGCAATTTCCCGGCCACGCATGCACATGCCGGGAATCTGAGCTGCTGGTTTCCAGTGCGCGCAGGCGCACTAGTCACCTAGACTTCCGGCTTCTGATGAGTATGCACATGTAAAGCCCAGCTGGTCAGCGGGCATGTGCATGCTGGAAACGGGAAGCTACATAAGAAAGGAGATCAAATTGATTGTTGTGAGGAGGAGGGGGGGGAGTTTTTTTGTTTTTGTTTTTGCAGAATTATGATTGAAAAGATGACAATGAGAAAAAATTGGGAAGTGCAATATGATTTTATGCCAGACAGGACAGAAAAAGTTGCTTTTTAGCTGGTCATTGGGAAATACATGTCTGAAAAAAGAAAGTGAATGTGATAATCCTTATGACCACAACTGGGAGTGTAATTTTTGTTGCTAAGTAAGAAAATTATTAAGTGAGATGCACCCTATTTTATGACAGTTTTAGCCATGGTTGTAAGCAAATCACTGCAGATGTTAAGTGAATCATGTTGTTAAGCGAATCCGGACTTGCCCATTGACTTCCCTTGTCAGAAGCAACCAGGGGAGGTTGCTAATAGCAATCATGTGACCCCAGGATGCTGCAACCATCAGACAGGCCAGTTGCCAAGCAACCAAATTTTGATCATGTAACTGTGGGACTTGCTCCAATGGTTGTAAGTGCAAGGATTAGCTGCGAGTCACTTTTTTCAGAATATTTTATCATGTCACATAGAATTGCAGAGCTTCAGGAAAATCAAAATGACAGATAAGATGACAAATGCCCTCATAACTGGGACAACTGCAATTCAGGCCAGTGTAGGAACTGAAGCTCCTGCAGCCATCTGTTGTGAGTGGGGTGGGGGAGAGAGACTGGAGAATAAAGCCTTACAAATTTGCTGAAAAGATACAGGGCTGAAGAGGTATGTAACTCTAGGGCGCCGGTGCTCATCTCTGTTTCAAAGCCGAAGAGCCAGCATTGTCCAAAGACATCTCCATGATCATGTGGCCTGCATGACTAAACGCCGAAGGCTCACAGAATACTGTTACCTTCCCACCAAAGATAGTTCCTATTTTTCTACTTGGATTTTTACATGGTTTTGAACTGCTAGGTTGGCAGAAGCTGGGACAAGTAACAGGAGCTCATTCCGTTACACGGCGCTAAGAATTTGAACTGCCAACCTTTCTGATCAAGAGCTCAGCGTCTTAGCCACTGAGCAACTGCAGCCCTTAAGAGATCCTTACATATGAGTAATTTCTCATACATTGTTACATTCAAGTAGAAAAATAGGAGCATAGCTTATATGGCTAAAAGAGAGAAAGAGGAAAAGAAGCAAGAAAGTCAGAGGTCTATTGGAATAGCCATTAGAAAGATGGGATAAAATTAACCATGGGGCAGGGCGAGCAAACCTGGTGTAACTTAAATGTCAGACATTTTTGGGTGCTTGAGAATGGTATCAAGAGAAGCAATAATGCAAATTGGATGGGATTGGATTTTTCATTCTTTTTGTTTCTTAAGAAAAAGGGAGGATTGAAGAGATTTGTTGTTTTTAGTTGCGAAGTCATGTCGATCCATTGCGATCCCATGGACAACGTTTCTCCAGGCCTTTCTGTCCTCTACCATCCTCTGGAGTCCATTTAAGCTCACACCTACTGCTTCAGTGACTCCACCCAGCTATCTCATTCTCTGTCGTCCCCTTCTTCTTTTGCCTTCAATCTTTCCCAGCATTAGGCTCTTCTCCAGTGAGTCCTTCCTTCTCATTAAATGCCCAAAGTATTTGAGTTACTACAGATTTT